CTGTGAGAGGGATAAAAATAGCCCCTTCCTTACTGGAATGCTGAGTCCCACCCTTTGGGGTTCCAGCAGTTGGGGATGTGGCCCAGGAACTTGCATTTTTAGAAAAGCTCCTTACGTGACTCTGATGAACAGCTAGACATAGGAACCACTGGTTGCAATAATTCCAAGAACATAAAACTACTGTCTCAGGAAAATAAAAGACATTTATTTATTTTTTGGCCGCACTGTGAGACATGTGGGATTATTAGTTCCCCGACCAGGGATCGAACCCGTGCCCCCCTGCAGTGGAAGCATGGAGTCTTAACCACTGGACTGCCAGGGAAGTCCAAAAGACATTTATATTTGATGCGAACCTAAACCAGGCATTAACCTGGGAGAATGTTATTCTAGTTCATGAAATATTTAAATTCAGCATGTATAATTTTATAGACAAATTAAGAGGGGAAAGAAGAGCAGCCAGCTCTTTGGTTGCTGGCAGGATTTTCTCAGCGAATTTGTATAGAGTACTTAGAACAGTGCTGGGTATATAGTAAATGCTCAAAAGATGTTAGCAATTATTTTCGGTATTGAGTAGAAATGTTACTGTTTAGTTTAGAAAAATTGTAAGTAATCTTTAAAGAGATGAGTAACCAGCTCTTTAAGTGAGCAAAGTGTCTTTTAGAAATTACATATAAATATCCATGCACATTAAAACTTTATCTAACACGTTAACTTCTTACATTTTCCCACCAAGCAGTTTTGGATAGCTCTCTTCTTACTCTCACTTCACGTTTTCCGTTTTAAAACTGATATTGATAATCTTTTTAGCCTTCTGAAAAACACATACCAAAAATTACCTGGAAAAGGCATAATGTTCTCATTCAAAGAAACTGGAGCTGGAAACATTCTTTAGTTCATCACTGGGACAAACGTTAAAGAGTATTTTGAAATGCATACCAACTAAACATATACATCTATAATAAAATTCCAGAAACTTTTCCTGCCTTGTATGTGTTTATAGTACAAGATGTATCTGAAACAGACGTGATGGTTTGAAGGTGTAAGATGTTTGGGTTTGGTCGATTCATTTCCATGAGTTTCTGAAGTTCCTTATCCTTCCTTCACGAGCCTCTTGCACCTTGCAGACATCAGCCCACTTGTTCCTTGTTCTTGGGACAGGGTGACACTTCTTAGCAGACACAAAATGACTAAGTAACTTTTAGTAACGTCAATTGTGTGCTGGGTCATTAATGCAAGACCACTTTGTGACCCTGCTCAATTCTTTTAACCCTTTCTTCTCTCCAAGATGTCCCTTAGCTAGAGCACCAGCCACTATTAAAACATGATCATAAATCATGGTTATTTGTCCACTAACCCTTCTTACGATACCAAAGGAAAAAAAAAAAAGAAAAGAAAAGAAAAAATGAAGCTCAGGCTCACTTAGACAGCGTCTCTGCTCTTGATGAATCTTTATGGAACCTTATCTTATATTTTTAACAGCAAAGCTCGGGCTCTGTTTTACTGAAGCTGTTTATATATCTAATCAGAGTGGATCAGGAAATGTGGTTGACAGCACAGGGCTGCCTGAGAAACCTACTTGCTGGCCAGCATTAAGGCCACTTTTCAGCTTGAAGGCGTGATCAATGGAGTGTGTCTGAGGCTCTGTTTAGATTAAGGGAAATAACGCACTGGTGGCCACATTCATCCCAAGCAAATCATTTTCCCTCACGCGGGCTGCAGTGAAAAGCTTTCCAATAAAGCGCTGGCAGGATTAAACACAACCAGCTCCTCACGCGCCCCTCCTGTGGTGGTTGGCTGCAGGCTGGGAGGAGCCCGGGCTCTAGCCTGACTGGGAGGATGGCGTTGCAAGAGAGAGCAGATCACACTCTGCCCTACCGCTACCTAGCTGGGTGTCCTACGGCCAAAGACTGGATCTGTCTGAGGCTTTGTTTCATCACCTGCGAAATGGAGATGTATGAGTCCGGGTTCTCCAGACAACTCTCTCGCTCTATCTAGATCTACAAATATATCATATACATGTATATGTATATACATACATACATACATGTATATATACCCCTGACTGGGGCGAGGGAGCAGGTACAGACTAGCTGAGGCACAGAACGACACCTCACCTTCAGCCTTCCTTCGCCTAGAGTCCTGGGTCAAGGTAAAACTGGAAGAGAGTAGTGTTCCCCAGAGGATTGCCCACTGGCTCCAGCGGGAAACTGAGTCGGGGGCAAAAGCTTCTGACCCTGGGGCTACAGACGAGAAATGGAACTGAAGAAGAGGGGGAAAAAAACTACAATCCCCAAAAGACCGTAAAGCGTCCACCTTACGCATGCGTAGACCCCGCCCCAATTCGGCGGTTGCCCGGCAGCTCTTTTCGCGCATGCGCTCTCCGACCAGTCTTCTTCCAACCCCTTGTGTTCCCCGGCCGGGGTTGGTACCCGGACCTCCTGTGACCTTCATCTCGGGTTGCGATGTTGCCCTTCTCTTTGCTCTGGGCGACTTGGCCTCAGCAGAGATGTGGTCACCTGGTCAGGATGGCCATAAGGTGCCAGCACAGCGAGGCGGCCCAGACCCAGACTGGAGAAGCAACCTAGGGCCGGTCAGGCCGGGAGAGTCTATCAGACAGTGACCCTGAGATATGGGAGCTGCTACGGAGAGAGAAGGACAGGCAGTGTCACGGCCTGGAAGCTCACTGCTCCAGAGAACTTCTGCAGCCGAGCTGCGCCGGAGGCCCTGGGGTCCTGTCTGAACAGCAGGTACTCGGAGGGTTATCCTGGCAAGAGGTACTATGGAGGAGCAGAGGCAGTGGATGAAATCGAGCTGCTGTGTCAGCGCCGGGCCTTGGAGGCCTTTGACCTGGATCCTGCTCAGTGGGGAGTCAATGTCCAGCCCTACTCGGGGTCCCCAGCCAACCTGGCTGCCTACACAGCCCTTCTGCAGCCTCATGACCAAATCATGGGGGGACCCCGTGCCCGATGGGGGCCATCTCACCCATGGCTACATGTCTGATGTCAAGCGGATCTCAGCTACATCCATCTTCTTCAAGTCTATGTCCTATAAGCTGCATCCCAAAACCAGCCTCACTGACTATGACCAGCCGGCACTCACTGCTCAGCTCTTCCGACCTTGACTCATCAGAGCTGGTACCGGTGCCTATGCCCGCCTCATCGACTACGCCCGCATGAGAGAGGTGTGTGATGAGGTCAAGGCGCACCTGCTGGCGGACGCGGCCCACATCAGTGGCCTGGTGGCTGCCAAGGTGATCCCCTCACCTTTCAAGCATGTGGATGTTGTCACCACTACCACTCACAAGACCCTTCGAGGGGCCAGGTCAGGACTCCTCTTCTGCCGGAAGGGGGTGCGGGCTGTGGACCCCAAGACTGGCCAGGATATCCTTCCACGTTTGAGGACCAAATCAACTTTGCTGTGTTCCCATCCCTTCAGGGGGGCCCCCAGAACCATGCCATTGCTGCAGTGTCCGTGGCCCTAAAGCAGGCCTGCAGCCGTTCCGGGAGTACTCCCTGCAGGTTCTGAAGAACGCTTGGGCCACGGCTGATGCCCTGCTAGAGCGAGGCTACTCGCTGGGGTCTGGTGGCACTGACAACCACCTAGTGCTGGTAGCCCTGCGGCCCAAGGGCCTGGATGGAGCTCGAGCTGAACGCGTGTTGGAACTCGTATCCATCACGGCCAGCAAGAACACCTGTCCTGGAGATCGAAGTGCCTGGGGGCCTGCGGCGGGTGCCCCAGCCTTGACTTCTCGATAGTTCCGTGAAGAGGACTTCCGGAAAGTTGTGGGCTTTACAGATGAAGGCGTCAAATCGGCTTGGAGGTAAAGAGCAAGACCACCAAACTCCAGGATTTCAAATCCTTCCCGCTCAAAGGCCCAGAAACAAGTCACTGGCTGGCTGGCCTCAGGCAATGGGTGGAGCAGTTTGCCAGGGCCTTCCCCATTCCTGTGCACTGAGGGCATCTAAGAAATGAAGCCCACAGACTGACGTTTATTCCTCTTCCCCCTACCTGGACAAGTTGGGTGTTGGGGGTAACTGCCTATCTTCCAATTTTTTGCTGGGGGAGGGGAAGGCCGCCCACTTAGGGGCAAAGGCAGGTGTAGTTCCCCTTCCCAGAATTTGTAGCTGAGAAAGTTGCTTCTTGTCACAAGACTTAGAAGGAAGAGGCTTGGGGCTTTCTGCCCTAATCTCTCTCATTGTCTCAGTGTTATAGACTCCCTGCCCTCTCTTGGGGAGGGGGGAGTTCCCCTTGTGAGCCAGAGGAAGGAGTGGGTAGGCTTTCTTTCATTTTTATCTAATAAAATGCTAACCTGCAAAAAAAAACTAAAAAACAAAAAATGTATATACATATACACATACATATATATGTATATAATGTATCTGTAGATCTAGATAGATACATACATATACACACACATACATATAATGTAACAGATGCACATACACATATAATATCTACCCACTTATTTATATGGAGATTTATTTTAAGGAATTGGTGCATTTGGTTTGGGGGCTGGTGAATGTGACGTCGGCAGGGCAGCCCTGAGGGCTGGAGACCCAGGCAAGGGCTGATGCTGCAGCTTCAATCTAAAAGCAGTCTGGAGGCGGAATTCCCTCTTCCTCAAGGGAATCCAGTTGTATTTTCTTAAAGCCTTCAGCTGATTAGAAGAGCTCACTCACATTATAGAAGGTAAACTGTGTTACTCAAAGTCTTTGGATATAAATGTTAATCTCATCTAAAACATACTTTCGCAGCAGCATCTAGACTGGTGTTTGGCCAAAAACTGGGTGTCACGGGTGCCACGGTCAAGCTGGTTGACACATAAAATTAACCATCACAGGGGATCGTAGTAACACTTTGTTCAGAGGGGCTTGGAGAAAGTTAAGTGTTAATGCCTAAAAAGCACTTTGCAATGGACTCTGCGTCACAAAATTTTAAGGCAAATTTGACTTATGCTTTAAGACTAAGTTTTAAAACATTCAAAAAATGTGTGTTACCTTCGGGTAGAATTCAGCATGACCACGTGACAGCGTCTGCTTCAGACTCCTTTTCAGCCACATGGATGAGCCGCCGGCAATAAGCTTCAGAGTCCCTGGAAATTGAGAGGTGACACATTTGTAGCAAAGACATGTTTATAGGCTCATCGAATTTTTAAAATCTTACCTTCTGCTCTTGAAAAACAATAAAGAACCTTTGTGGTACAGTCAGTCAGCTTTTCGTGGGTGTCTTTATACCTTGTGGCCCCAATAATTTGGAACGTGGAGTAGTAAGTTATGGGTTCATTTAACACTGTCTTACCCAGTGCTTGCCTCAGAGTTGGAAAAGGGTACTTATAAGAATGTGGCTTCCATGTACATCTTCCTCTCTGTGGTACAAAATATGGCCTCAAAGAAAACATCGTTGTTTCCATTTCAAGGTCCTTTCGGGAGCGGAGAAACTGGGCAGTTACTGGTGGAATGCTACCTTTCCAAGATTTATGAGGAGTCGTGGAGGGCTCAGTAAACTTGGAAGGTAGCTTTTGTATCTTGCAGCACTCAAGACTGATTTAATTTCATGTCAGTCCTGGAACGGCAACCACTATATGAACTGCAGGTTTATAAATTGCTTCTTGGAGCAGCTGACCTTGTAGGTGCCGGGAGTCAAATGGAGCGGAAAAGTAGAGGAAGCTGGCAGATTGAGAATCTTGGTACACCGAGTAAGCATCCATTTCACCAAAACTGGAGTTCTCATCTGCCCCCCATTTTCACCCCCAAACCCCTTCTTTCCCTTGAGTTTGTCTCCTGCCTAAAATACTCATTTTTTTTTCCCCCATAAGATGTCAGATGGGCTAGTGAGGGAGAAACTGGATTATGCGACCATGGTAAACAGGGTCTTCTGAATTTTCAAAGATCATTTCATGAAAATTCTGCTCCTGAGCTACTCAGAATAAGTAATATAAAGCCTAATTTACATCTCCTCTCACAGTAGAATCCCTGACAGGGATGTTAAAACAAACTGATGTCACTAAGTAAAGCTAATATTCAGAAGCACTGGATTCTTACAGGAGCTAAAAATACGGTTTGGGGTCATGGCATTGATTAAGTCAGGCCTTAAAATCAGCAAGCAACACACAATGCTATTTGAAGAAAAGCACACATATCAGGATAAATCTCCCAACAATTTTTAGTCCCACTGCAGTGGAGCGTTGTTTGTGTGGGCGGTGGCAGCCTCTTTGCCCTTTTGTCACTTGGAATTATGCTGGACCGAGCATTTGTGGACTGTGGGGGGGCAGCCTCACCTTGGCGACAGGATGGTCACAGTAGTTTGTGAGGTATTTCCATGCTCTCAGAATGCATATCTGCAGTTAATTCTAAAAGAAAAAAAGAATACATTTCTTATAGCAGACATGTAATCTAAAATGCAGCTGTGTCAGTGACCCAGACAAGAAGTCATCCCTGCTCTCAGGAAGCTTAGTTTAGTGGGTGGGAGGCTGTAGTTAAAAATAAGTTATACAGGGCTTCCCTGGTGGTGCAGTGGTTAAGAATCCACCTGCCAGTGCAGGGGACACGGGTTCAAGCCCTGGTCCGGGAAGATTCCCACATGCCGCAGAGCAACTAAGCCCGTGTGCCACAACTACTGAAGCCTGCGCACCTAGAGCCCATGCTCTGCAACAAGAGAAGCCACTGCAATGAGAAACCCACGCACCGCAACGAAGAGAAGCCCCCGCTCGCCGCAACTAGAGAAAGCTGAAGCGCAGCAATGAAGACCCAACGCATCCAAAAATAAATAAATAAAATAAATTTATTAAAAAAAAAACTGTTGGGCTTCCCTGGTGGCGCAGTGGTTGAGAGTCCGCCTGTCGATGCAGGAGACACGGGTTCGTGCCCTGGTCTGGGAAGATCCCACATGCCGCGGAGCGGCTGGACCCGTGAGCCATGGCCGCTGATCCTGCGCGTCCGGAGCCTGTGCTCCGCAATGGGAGAGGTCACAACAGTGAGAGGCCCGCGTACCGCAAGAAAAACAACAAAACTGTTGTACTACAATATACTATGTGCTGTAAAAGATATGCTGTTGTAGCCCAGAAGAGTCAGTCAGGGAAGGCTTCAAGGAGGTGGTGGCATTTGAGACGAATATTGACCGGTGAGTAGTTTCTGTTTTCTGGCTTTTTGTTTTTTCGGCTAAGCAGAGTTAGAGCCAGGGACTTCCCTGGCGGTCCAGTGGTTAAGAGTCCACGCTTCCACTGCCGGGAGCACGGGATTGATCCCTAGTAGGGGAACTAAGATCCCCCATGTCGTGCCGCGTGGCCAAATAAAATAAAATAAAATAGAGCCAGGAGGAAAACGTCACAGAGTAGTGAAAGGGCCAGAAATGTTCCAGGAAAGGTGAGAACTTAATGTGTCTGAAGCAAAAAACATGTGATCAGTGACTCAGGAGATGAAAGGGAGAGAGCTTAGGAACAGCCTTGTAACAGCCTAAAAGTGGAAATGTGGTCCTCGGTGAGTTCAGGAAACAGCTGTAAGAAGGAGAAGGACAGAATATGAGGGGCATTTGTGATCAGTGGAGTGTGGAGGCTGTGTGTGTGAGAGAGGGCTAAGGATACACAAATTTCTAGCTAGGAAGTCTAGTCGGGAGGTCACCCTGCCGAACTAAGTCATTGCTAAAGTAATGGGAAAGATCTGCAAGAGCAGACGCCAGTTGCTGTGGCAACTTGAATGGGAGACAGATGGGCGGTGGGAGGGTGGAAAGCGTTCCCTGAGACCGTTTAAAATCTCCTTTCAAATTAACGACAAGTGTGCCAGTTCAAGAAGTCACTCCAACAACATGGAAAAGAATGTGTCAAACTCCACAAGCTGAGTTTTGAAAGAGACCCTTGATAATAGTTACACACTATTTTCCATATTCAATTACATAATTTGCATTTAAATTACACAATACGTTTCAATCTTTGACCCAAAGTAAGCTCATCTTCAAATAAACTTTAAAATATGCAATTTCATTTTAGTCTGATGAAGACTTATTTTATCTGACAAGGACCTAAGAAAAGACTAATCTGTTCAAAGTTAAAAATAGCACAGAACATTCATCTAAGAAATTCTTTACAGGAGGTACTACAATTTTTTTCTGGAATACTTTCCCTTTATCAGAGCTAATGGATCATATATGCAGTAAATTACTTCTTTCAAAGTGAAATTCCATCTAGATCAAGTTACACTCATTCTGTGTGTGCACGTGTCTACCTGTGCAAACACCCAGCCATTTCCACAGCCATTACCTGATATATCGTCAGCATCATAAACCTTACTGTCACTAATTTTACACAGCAAGAGGCAAATTTCATACAAAGTAACTTTCATCTGGCTTTTCTTTTTTGTTATATTTTAGTAATATTTCTATTGTAAGAATCTCATTTTCAAAGTGGGGAGAAAAGCAATAGTACTACATAGAACCACAAATGAACCAAATCTAACTTAATGTGGTTGATATAAACTAACTTAAATGCCTTTATTTGTGTGAACTATACAACAAATAATCCCATTTAAGGATAGTATTTAGAAAAATATACTAGTGAAAATAACCAAATGAAAATATTTGCATGTATTGGCACTTAAAAAATCAACCTGAACATTATAAAAATTAGGAAATTCCTTATAATAATACTGAGAAAAAGAAATCTCTCCTATTGTAAATGCAATTGTAAGTTTAAGACATTTAATCAGACTGTATTTTAAGTAGTCATTAATAAAATTAATGTTGCTAAGGTGGTTCCTAAATAGTAAGGATAGGATCAATATTTAAGTATAACCTGCTAAGTTAAAGTCAGAACATTTGGACAGTTGAAAACAGATTTGAAATATTCCCCAATTTCCAGTTATACATTGTTCTTACCTATGCGTAATATATTGAAAGGGAAAGTATAACACTGGCAAAATTCCAGTCTAACAAATGAAGTAGGTTGGAAACTCAGTTTTGATGTTTTAGGAAGTCAGTATGTCTAAACAAAAGTTAAATTTCATTATTTTAGGTGTTACTTAGGTGACCTTCTTGTAAATGAAAAGGAAGAAGAATAGAGTGCCCGGTGTAGAATGCAAATCAAATAGAAAATTTTCATAGACCCATCAGCTGTTCTGGAATTCTACTCACAGAATCTAGGGTTAAATACAGAAAATCAGACAGAATAATAATTCCAGAAAATATATTTGGAAAGGATCTGAATCATTTTGCATCGAAGCCTTCCAGAAAAAGAGCTTTCATAGTTTTTTGGTAACAAGTTAGACATTAACGTTCTTGCAATCATGTTTTTTGGATTTATTGAACAATTTCTGATAATATACTTTCCCCAAAATATGTTATTTTTAAGGTCTGAAGGTTAACTTTGAAAATATATTAATGTACTAATAAAGAATAAAAACTTATTATCTTAATTTATTTCTGTAAATGTCATAACAAATCACTAATCAAATATTTTTTAAAGTGTCACTTTTTTTTTATTCAAACAGAAAATCACAAAAACTATAATCATCCTCATCAGTTCACTCAGTCCCATGTAATTAATTTTTTTCATCTTGATCTTTTGCTAGCACTTTTATGAATTCATCAGTTTTCCATTAGAGTTCTGAAAATACTTATTCATTCAGTTCAGCAGTATAGTCAGTTACCAGAAACCTGTACTTGTCAGAGTCTTTTCCATGAATTCCTTGAAGATGAAACCCTTTTATAGGAACATTTTTGCCAAAGCATCAGAGTACACCCAGAACTGTCTGTAAATGACAAAAGACTTAAAAATGACCATGGTTAGGGCTTCCCTGGTGGCGCAGTGGTTGAGAGTCCGCCTGCCGATGCAGGGGACACGGGTTCGTGCCCCGGTCCGGGAAGATCCCACATGCCGCAGAGCGGCTGGGCCCATGAGCCACGACCGCTGAGCCTGCGCGTCCGGAGCCTGTGCTCCACAACAGGAGAGGCCACAACAGTGAGAGGCCCGCGTACCAGAAAAAAAAAAAAAAAAAATGACCATGGTTAAAGATTTGATGAAAGTTCATAATAACTCAATTGACAAGGAAATTTAGTTATTTCTGAGATATACATTTTAAAGTAATAACTAGAATTATGACTTATAACATTATACCAGAACATATAAGAGTTTTAGAAATTTCATGTAATGTCTGAAACATTTATATTATATATAATAAGAACATATTATGTTGTTTATTGTATAAAAGTTGGAAGCTTATATCAGGTGCTATCCAATACCAGATACCTACTAAAAGTTGTTACAGTAATATATAAATTCAATGTGTGTGTAGATAAGTTTTAAAAATTCTATGAGCATTTATTGAGTTTTCCTTATATGCCTACTGAGATAGAGGGAAAGAAAAACTACCTGTAATTAAGCTTCCTTTATATTCCATACTCTGTGTTAGAACTTTATGTCTATTTTCTCATTTAAAGATGAAAAAAGATATGAGGTAGCTATTTTTACTCTCTCAATCATGTAGCTGTTAAGTCGAGATATTATCTTTAAAAATAAGATCTGCTAAACATTTAAAGAAGAATTAATACCAAGCTTTCTCTAACTCTTCTCAAAAATAGAAGAGGAAAGGACATTTCAAACTCTTGAGGCTAGCATTACTGTGATACCAAAACCAGACAAAAGCACCAGAAAAAGAGAAAACTACTACAGACCAATATCCTTGATGAATGTAGTTGCAAAAATCCTTAAGAAAATGCTAGCAAACTGAATTCAACAGCACATTAAAAGAATTATACACCATGACCAAGTGGGATTTATCCCTGGGATGCAAGGATGATTCAGCAGACAAAAATCAATTAATGAGATACACGATATTAATAAACTATAAGTCACATGATCATCTCAATATACACAGAAAAAGCATTCATCAAACTTCTAAACCCTTTAATGATAAAAAACTAGAATAGAAGGAAGAACTCAACAAAATAAAGGTATTTATGAAAAGCCCAGAGCTAACTTCATACTCAGTGGTGAAAAACTGAAAGCTTCCCTCTAAAACCAGGAATAAGGCAAGGACACACACTCTTGTTACTTGTATTCAAGATAGTACTGGAAGCCCTAAGCAGAGCAATTAGGCAAGAAAAAGAAATAAAAGGCATCCAAATTGGAAAGGAAGAAGTAAAACTGTCCCTGCTTGAGATGACATGCTCTTACATACCAAGAATCCTAAAGACGTCATGAAAAACTGTTATAACTAATTTTAAAAATTCAATAAAGCTTTAGGATACAAAATTAACATGCAAAAATCAGTTGCATTTCTATATACTAACAACAAAGTATTTGAAAAAGAAATTAGGAAAGGAATCCCATTTATAATAGCACCAAAAAGAATAAAAAAACTT